AGCCAGCATTGCTGGCTGGGGAATTCTAGGAGTTGAAGTCCACACATCTTCAAGTGGCCAAGGTTGAGAAACACTGCTCTACAATATTTTAATCACCAAGTTAATTGTCCATTCATTCCCTCAATCTTTTTGTGAGATTACATTAACAAAGGTAGGTGTGTGTGTGTGTGTATTCCTAGTGTTTTTTTAAAATGTTCTCAATTTATTAATTTGTTTTTATTGATTTACTAGGGTTGTATCCCACTCTAATCATGTCTCTCAGCACCACACAGACCTCCCCAGCAGTAATAAAGTTAAAAATGCAAGTGAAGCTGCATTTTTGGATTGCTGGATTGTCAAAGAGTTTTTAAGACTGTTTTAAGCATATGCTATTTTAGAGAGTTTGATTGAATTACTTTTTTTTTTAATGCAACAGTTCTTTAATTTTCCAAATGAATCATCTACAGGTGTTGGCACTGCTAATAACTGAAAACGTGGCATGCAAACAAGCTGAATGAATAAAATGAGTGAATGCCTGGGGACAGGGAAGCACAGAATTGTACCGCTAATGATTTAATAGCTGCTACTTACTTTTCGTCCTCTACGTCCTGGAGATGTTTTCCTATCCTGCAGCTGCTTTGCATACAAAATGAACATTGGGCTTCTATTTCTGCTGGAGTTGGGCGGCCAATAAATTCGAATGATTATCATGGTTGGTTGCACAATCAGCCAGATGTTTAGACTGGATTTGGCCTTTTCATCCACCCATTGAGTCCTTCCCAAGGACCTGGGGTAGACAGATGTCGTTGTTTGATGGTGTTCGAGGTATTGTCGCAGGATGGAAGCTGTTCCAAGTAAAGCTGCCTTTTGCAACGGACTGGTGGTGATTTTGGCAGTGCCAATGATCTTCAAGTGGCGCTCCAGATGTTTTGGGACTGCACCCAAGGTGCCTGTAACTATTGGTCCTACCTTTGCTTTCTTTTGCCACAGTTGTTCTACTTCTATTTGCAGGTCTTCGTATTTTGTGAATCTCTCCAATTCTTTCTCTTCTCTTCTACTGTCTCCAGGTATTGCAATGTCCACTCTCCAGACTTTTTTGTCTTTCTTATCAACGGTTGTTAAGTCTGGGGTGTTGTATGGCAGGTGTTTGTCTATTTGAATTCTGAAGAAGAAGAAGAAGAAGAAGAAGAAGAAGAAGAAGAAGAAGAAGAAGAAGAAGAAGAAGAAGAAGAAG